AAGCTCAGACATCTTTATGATAGTCTATCCTATGTTCTACCCACCATCTTCCATGCACCAAATACTTTGCTGCATGTTGTAGTAAAATCAAATAGGACATAGCTCCTCCCTGAGACAATTCCACCAGTAATGCCAGAAGGAGACATTGTGGTGTTATGCATGACATAGGTTAGTAAAATATAAATAAAACTAACATTCGGCTAAAAGGCTGGTTCAGACATTTTCTTTCTTAATGTAAACTTTACCAAGTTGCTTAATCTTGGGAAGGAGTAAGAGAATAGAAATTATGAAATCCATTTTACCAAATTAAAATTATTTTAAAAGAGTATTGGTCAAAACACACACTTAATAACACATGCAAGCACATGAGTACACACACACAAATGCAAATTCAAATACTGGTTCTTCATGGTTGACTGTGTTTTTATATTGCTGTCTTCCCATCCGTTCTTTCAGTGGGAGCTCATGGTGTCTCTTCCTCTCCTGGTGGGTTTGGGTGTAAAGATATCTTCCAGTGCATTCAAGCAGGTACAATACTCCAATGGCTGCAGGTGGGTCTGAGACACTTTCAAGTCCAGGGTGGAGACAAAGAGGGGGCAGAAGACTCAAGCATAGGGCAAGGTCCAGAGGGCACAGAAGACTCAAACAAAGGGCAGGGATTGTAGGGCACTGAAGACTGAGGTGTGGCCACATCAGGGTGATCCTTCTGGGTGGGTCAGGTCCTCTCTAAATGCAGAAAATGGCCATGGAGATGGGAGCAGGGGGATGTCGAGAGTTGGGGCTCAGAGCAGGGCCCTCCACTCACCTCAAGCATAGGGTAGGGACCGGAGGGCACTCGTTTTTAAGGGAATTTAACCAAAACATGCATATATTACAGTAGAAGTCATATAGGTAATATTCAGTCTTTCTATTCAACAATATTATTTGTCATATACATTGTTTCCATCATCTCTTTATTGTCTAATAAAGTGCATGCATGCTTTCACTAGGAATGTGGACACACACTTGTAACTCTTTTTAATTTTAAAATAATCTTTTCTCATTTTACATACAAATCCCTGCTCCCACTCCCCTCTCTCTTCCCTCCCTCCTCACCTGCCCTCCCCAGTCCCACTTCCCATTCACTTCTCAGAGAGCATCAACCTTCACATGGGGAGTCAATGAAATCTGGCACATCTCCTTGAGGCCCGACCAAGGCCTTCCCCTCTATAGCTAGACTGATCAAGATATCCCTTCAAAGAGAATGGGCACACTCCTTTATCTCATACACTTGAGAAAGTAAGGCGGTCAGTTATCTCTGAATGTCAGGCCATTCAGGTTTACAGAACCAACTCTAGACCATCCAGAACTGCATAGTGAGACCTTGTCTTAAATAACAGTTAACCTAAATTATACGTTAATTTATAGTTTCTGATACAACAGTTTGTGCTAAATACTTAAAGGTCAGCAAAACAGCTCTGTCTATTATGTGATTCTGCAACACAAAGCCACCTTTTTTGTCTGCAAGATGCAATACCTTACAGCTGTCCAATTTTCAAATAACTAACTGGTTAAAAAATAAAGAGGGGGCAGAGGCAGGGTAAAATATATCCTCCCTTGTTGGCACTTGGCCTAGGAGAGGAATTCATGTTGTTATGCATTGAAATTGACAGAACTATGTTCTTTGACTATGCTGGGTGAAAAGTCCTAGTTAGTGAGCCCTTCAACTTAGCTGGCTTCATATGATACTGTTTGTATGTTCCTAAAACCTGTTGCATGAAAACTTAGTCCTCAGCATGGCGTTTTAGATAGCAGTGGAAGTCTCAGGTTTTGGGACATAGGGAGTATTCCATAGAAATGGATATGGGATCCTGGAGTCTACAATCTCTTCACAGTGTGAGCAGGCTTTTCTCTAGTACAGACCACTCTCATTGGTGAACTGCACCACAATATTGTCACTCTGCAAGGAGCAGGCAATCATGAACTGAATCCATGTTATAGAATATGCCTTTCACCTGATAAATTCCTTCTCTTAGGGGATTTTGTTTCTGTAACTGGAAACCTAGCATCAATTTCTTCTAAACCTCTATTAGATGCAAAAGGATAACAGTTCCTGAAAGTCAAGTTTTAAGGTAGCTATTAGTTTTTCCTGCCATCACAGTATTTTAGATGATGGCCAACGTTCATTTTCACCCACATTTGCATTTTTCTTTCTTTGATTTCAATGTTAATGTACAGCTGAATGCTAATCTCTATTGTGATTGGAGTAAGAACTGAGGCTTTTGACATGGAGGATAACTGGGTTAAGAGTGTTCTGTCATCATGAATGGTATTAATTCCCTTGTAAAAGAGAATCCTGGGAATGAGCTTAACCATACTATTTAGGAAAAGTCATGAAGAAGAAGCTCCTACTAGAACCTGAATCTGCCTGTACCTTGATCATGTTCTTTCCACTCTCTGAAAATGTAAATGTAATTCTGTGTTCTCGATAAGCCACCAAGTTCATAGAACTCTGGTGATAGAAGTCCTAGTGGACAAAGACAGACTCCATAAACTATACCCACAGTTAGCTCATGATAACTACTATCTCTGAGAAATGACAGCTATGTCTAAAATCCTGGTAAAAAGATATAATCATGATATTAATTTGAAATTTGAAGTTTTTAAAAAAATTCAGTGCAGAAACATTTTCATGATATTTTAATATACACAAATAAATGTTCACTAAACTGGCATGAATTAGGGTCAAACAGTGAAGTTAGAAGACCTGTTGCCTAGGTGAAGGAGGTAGAGAAGGAAACTGTGGGTTTATAGTGCTTCATATGCCCACCTACTCATTTTGGTTCTAAGGGAACTGTCAGATATTTTTCATACCTGATACAAACATTTATCATATAACAAAATTAATTTTCTGGTTCTATAAAATCTAATAATAGCCATCTGTGGAAAAAACCACTACCTCTCATATCCAAGCTTCCATCTAATTTAGTTTTACATGTCACAGTTTGAGAAAATAAGGCAGGGCTTTCATTATTTTCAGTTCTCTTGCCTTGGATCATGAGACATATACTGCCATCAATGCTAAGAATGAAACCAACACACAAAATATCTGTATCTCCTTGAAAGAACTGCTCTGTAACGTGTAGTCTTCCCACCAGCCTGGTTTCAGAGCAGCAGCATAAGTCCCAAATGAACACACAGGAGGCTCTATTAATTATAAAACTGTTGATCATTTGCTATTGTTTCTCATTGGCTAGCTCTGACTTAATTATTGACCCATAATCACCAATATATATTTTTGTAAGGTCTTATCTTACCGAGAATGCAGACTTGCATCCCGTCTTCCTGGGAATCACATGGCAACGATAACAGATGAAAATGTCACTCTCTCAAAAAATTTTTTTTCAGCTAATGACAGGGCCTATTAACACCCCTTTGAGCCCCTAACAGGTAGGAGTCAGAATTGAATCCCGTCATGGGTACTTCGAGAATGCGGGAATGTAGTGACTAGCATCACCATTTTAGCAGCTATGACCAGCTACCATGTGCTTACATGACCTTGCCATTCCTGTCCTGGTCACTAGGAGGTCAGATGCCCTCCTCATGGCAAGGAGCCAATCAGAAATTAGCTGGCAGGGTGTGCTTTACAGACAGTGCACAACAGTGACGTGCAGAGCATAGCACTGCCTTGGGAGGGCCTATGGGCCTTAACAACCAATTGACTAATCAACACAGGGCAGATCATCCAAACTTGGAAACACACCAATCCTGAGATTGTTTGATATGCCTAGACACACCTCTTATGCTGCCCTTTAAGATCCCTGCCTCGAAGTTGCTCAGGGTCTTTCTCCAGCCATTCGCCATGGTGGAGGGATGAAGCACCTGAGCTAATGTGTTTAGCTCTGTAAACAACTAAAATAAAAGACTCTTTGCTTTTGCATAGAAATGGGCCTCATTGATTTTGGGGTTCAGAATTTGGGCACAACACTGGCCCATTCCTGGTCTTTCTTTTTAAATTAAATTTTATTTAAATTAAAAAAATAGTATTTTCCATGCCAATCCCACTTCTCTCTCCCTCCCATCCATCCTCCCATTCCCCCTACCAACTTACCCATCCCACTCTCCATCTACTCCTCAGGGAGGGTGAGGCCTTCCATGGGGGATCACAAAAGTCTGTCACATCATTTGCAGCAGGACCCAGGCCCTGCCCCTTGTGTCTAGGCTGAGAGAATGTCCCTCCATAGGGAATGGGCTCTCAAATCCCATTTGCACATGGGGGATAAATACTGGTTCCACTGTCACGGGCCGCCTAGACTGTCCAAGCCCCCAAACTGACACCCATTTTCGGGATCCTGGTTTGGTCTAATGTTGATTTCCCAGCTGTCACTTTAGGTTCTGTGAGCTTCCAGTTGCTCAGGTCACCTGTTTATATGGAGTTCTCAGATGGTCTTAACCTCTTTGTTCATCATTCCTCCCTATCTACAAATGGAATTCAGGAGTTCAGCTTAGTGCTTAGCTGTGGATCTCTGATTCTGCTTCCATCAGCTACTGGGTGAAGGCTCTATTTTAGGTAGTCATCAATATCATTATTGGTTTGAATATGAAATACCCCACAGGGCTCTCTGGAATTGAGATCTTAGGTGCCAACTGGAGAGTTTTAGAGAAATGATTGGGTTTTTAGGACTATGTTTTATTCGCAGGGTAGTTTCCTTACATTGGTTCATAATTTGGTTTCCCGACTGTAAAGTCATGTAATTTGTAAGAGTAAGAAAAAAGGTAAAAATAACTGAAACAAAACTCAAACACTGAGAAAAGGACATCAAAACCAGACAGCCATTACCTGGCATTCCCTCCATGGCTCATCTAGTAATTCTGTTATAGTTGACCTTTAGGGCAGTCTAGAAATCTATTATGGTTAGGTTATAAAGGCCGTAAGAACCATGGAAATTTGGCCTTTCTGAGATGTTGGAAAACAGTAAATTTTGAAATTTTGTTAATTTTTTCCATACAAAGTATTATGAAAAAGAATAGAATACTTAATGAATTTGCATGTCATCCTTTCACAACGACTATGCTAATCTTCTCTGTATCCTTCCAATTTAGTATATATGCTGCTGAAGTGAGCACTTGACAATGGCAAATAGCACAAAATGTGTGATAATGCGAGCAGAACATTTTATCCAGCTTCAGAAAAAAACTGATCAGTCACCTGATGCATGTTAATATGCTGCTCTTTTCACAGGAGCTACTTTCTTATTTATGACAAATCGGTTTGCCTTAGGTCAGTACTTAAAACCACATTATACTGAGTAACTGAGTACTTTAGAAACAAAATAAAAGGAGTATTAACAATAAATATTGATTGCAGCCTAAGTGAATGTGTGTGAACTCTATTGACTTTAAGGAATATAGAGAAAGGCAAATACACACACAGTGTGTGTGTGTGTGTGTGTGTGTGTGTGTGTGAGACAGAGAGACAGAGAGACAGAGAGACAGAGAGACAGAGAGACAGAGAAAGAGAAAGAAACACAGAGAGATGGAAAGACAGAGAGACAGAAAGAGACAAAGAGTTGAAGGGAATGGGAAGAAATGATCATGTATTTCAATGTATTTGATAAAATTTAGATGTGCTTAGAATTTCACTTGTATCCTAATTGTAATTTACATTAAACTCTTTGGTTATTATTGACCATCTAGTTCAAATTAAACTTTGTTATGTATCTAAGGCACATATTCTTTTATTTATGCATTGTTAGGAAGTATATACAAAGATATAAACATACTTTTCAATAGGCTAATACTTAAAATAATTTTTATATGAGTAATTGATATAACATGAATTAAAATATAACAAGAAAATTATTACATTTGAAAATATTATCATTTTTCCAGTTATTTGAAATCCACATTTGATACTTGTCTAAGTTTTGGGGAGGAAAGAGATTATTTTGCTCACAATTCCATACAACAGTTCATGCACAAAAGCAATAAAGGCAGAACTCATACAGGCATCCATCAGCAATGCTGGTTACTGGTTTCTTCTCCCTGGATTCCTTAGCTTGCTTTTTACAGAATCAGGGACCTCCAGCCTAGAGATGGCATCACCCACAGTGAGCTGGGCCCTCCCCTAAGATCACTAAGAAAATGCTTTATAGGCTTGCCTGCAGCCTGATTTTTTTCCTCTATCCTTTTTTATTTAACAAGTATGTTTCAGATGTCAATCCCAACTCCCTCTCCCTCCCCTTCCCTCACCCTGTTCTCCCCACCAGGCTCCACAGTCCCCCACCCAATCTCCATTCCAATCCCCTTGGAGGGTGAGGACCTACATGGAGGATCTCCAGAATCTGTCATTTCATCGAGGGCATGGTCTAGGTCCTCCCACAAGAGTCCAGGCTGAGAAAGCATCCCTCATTGTGGGATGGCAACTCAAAGTCTATTTTTAAGCCAAGGATAAATACTAACCCAAGGCCCAATAGATTATCTAGGCCTCCTCACTGACACCCATATTCAGGGGTTCTGGGTGTGTCCCATGCTTTCCACAGAGCAATTAGTCTGGGGTCCAAGTGCTCCCCTTTGTTCAGGTCAACTGTTTCTGTGGGTTAAACCAGCCCAGTCTTAACCCCTTTGTTCATCAGTTCTCCCTTTCTGTGACTGGATTTCAGGAATTCAGTTCAGTGTTTAGCTATGGGTATCTGCCTCTGCTTCCATCAATCGCTGGATGAAGTTTCTGTTTCCCAGACTCTCTGGCAGTGGGCTTGTATGTTTAGCCTGATTTTATAAAGGCATTTTCTTAATTGAAGTTCTCTCCTCTTAGAAGACTTTATTTTACATAGACACAAAACTCTCCAGTAGAATTGTCACACTTGTCAGCTTAATACACAAGCACGCCACCATTAAGTCCCAACATTTCCTTTCTCATTCTTTCCCAATTTCTCACATTAAAACACAAATAACTTGAGAAGTCCTAAAAGAAAATCTCACATTAAAATAATCTCACAGAAAATTTTCTCACACAAATAACTTGCAAAGTACCACATTTGTTTTCAAATTCAAACATATTAAAAGTTCAGACTCTTATATGTCTAATCACTTTAAGTTTACAAAATTTCTTTTAAAATTTCAAAGCCTTTATGTAAATATCTTCTGTAAATTTCAAAATTATGTTAAATACTTTCTTCAAGAGAGAACCAGGCCATAGTAACAATCTGAACAAAGAAAACAAAATTCCAACAGTGTAAGTAACTGAATGTTTTCTTATCTGGGATATACTCAGGATTTTCTTGAATCCTCTAAGGGGCTTTGGTGACTAGTCTGGCTCTAGCATTGCAGTACTCCCAACTTGCCATCTGGGCTCTTACCGCCTTCCCTCCATAGATACTGCTGTCCCTAGTGGTCATATATGGTATCAGCATCTATAAAACTGCTAGGGATCCTCTGCTGCTACTGTACTTTTACATATATTCTCTTCTGGCCTTTCTTCATGGTGCCAAGCCTCATGTTGTCTGTATGACCCTTTGAATCTTGAGCCTTCCATTGCTACTGAAGCTATGCCTTCAGCAGTGTCTTCCCTGTCTTCTCACAGTGCTAAGCCTTAGTTGCTCCTCATGACTAATTTCATGTCTTCAAAACCAGTAACAATTGATCCAGCAAGATACTGCCTGGATGGACATAAAGCAGAGACAGGACAGCTAGAGACTCTGTATAGAACCAAACATGATTAGGGGAAAGCAACAAATAAAATTATTCCAATGATATTCTGCTATATTCGTAGTCCAATTACCACTAGAATATGTCAACTAGCAACAGAAGGGAGAAGATACAGAGACACACAACCCATGGCCTCAGAAGAAGGACAGGAATGATTGTAGAAACAAGAGAGTTTGAGGAAATCAGGAGGACAAGACCCACAGAATCAACTAATCAGGGCTCATAGGGCCTCACAGAGACTGAAGGAGCAATCTTAGAGACCATATGGGTCTTCAATAACCTGTCATTGTTTTGCTTGGGATTTTTATTAGACTTCTAACAGTGGAAGTGGGGGTGTCTCCGCCTCTTTTGTGTGATTGTGTAATCCATTTCCAACTACTGGATGCCTTGTCAAGCCTTGATATGAGGGTTTATACCTATTCTTATTGCATCTTGTTATGTCTTCTTGCTTCATATACCTGGGAGGCCTGGTCTTTTCTTAAGGGAAAAGGAGAAGAGGGGAAAATGGGAAGGGGTATAGTGGGAAAGTAATGTATCAAATAATAATAAAAATGTAATCACAGCCCAAACTGAATTACCTTAAAAAGTACTTTCTGTAATAAAATTTGAGGACATAAAAATGTATTTGGAGCAATTTCAGAACAAGAGAAGTAGCTTTGTTTTGATTAACTCAATTCCATCCAACTTCAATGAGGGATCCCCATTTTCATGGATGGAAAGGACACCTTCTACATCTCATATTTGGACACAAAGGCTGAAGTAGTGATTTGTTCTTTCAAGCTGTCCTTTAGTCTATTTCCTTACTTATGAATATTTGAAAAAACAAAAGGAAAACACATTTCTCTTTACTGCTAATACTGCTTTTTCTGTAAAATAGCAAACTTACACATATACACACATACACACATACATACACACACACACACACACACACAGGTGCTCTTCTTTTTATTCCAATCATATCATCTGCTTTTCCTAGTAATGAATACTATACACCCTATCATTTGCTTCATTGCCATTTATGAAATGAAGCTTTGATGTTTCTCCTAAACCTTGACAGACAAGGAAATAGTGTCCTTTTGCAGATGGGGATAAGAAGTAATACAAAATATCTGAAGAATGTAAGAAAATCCTGTATTTTCAGGGCATTTACTTTCTCTAATTTGTCAAAATAATAAGTTACTACTGCTTATTAATAACACATTATTTTTAAAGTCTCTGGCATTTATTTCTTATTATATTTAAACACAAATTTTTATTACATAAACCTTAATAACTCAGAAATTGTCTACCCTGATGTGTTAAGCTATTCAAACTGTGAAATTAAAGAAGAAAAAGAAAGTTTCTGAAAGACAATGTTGAATTTCTGATTCTCTTTTTTTCATTTTGTTCCTGTGTGATAGTGATTAATGATCCCTGATTTCACTTGTCTTTTATCAAGTTCTTTCAGGTTCTGTTTTAGAAGTGAAGCTTAACCTTTCTCCACTTGATCAAGGGTATGGGGAGACTTCTGGATAATGACAGACTGCAAATAGGAACTTGTAGAGATAAAGAGTTGGAAATTATAATGTGTACAGATAGGGTAAAAATAAATTCTTCTCAAATGCTTGTTCTCCTGTGTCCAGGTCATTTCCTATGAGATACTTTAAGGTAGCAAGAAAACTATTGAATAATAAATTGTTTATTCAAATGTAGTAATAAACCTGCAATTTGTGCATACAATAAGTACAAGAGATTTGAGCTGTATTCATACAAAACAGGTTGTAGCTCAATTTTCGGAGTAGTATATGAATATTCATAAAACAGTATCTAATTTAATGACAAATAAAACATGAAAATTGAACAATATTTTTCCTGTATGTTAAAATATCTGGCTAGGAAGAAAAGTTTGCTGTTCACAAGAAGGATTTTTTTGATTTGTCATTTTACTCTGGATGTTGGAACGTGCCAGACTGTTCCACTTTCCTTCATGTGTATTTAGCAGAACAATTAAGATACTGGCAACACCTCCTCCCCATGCCCTCTCTTACAGTCTATTTCCTGTCTACATCCACAGGACTCAGCAAGTCACCATCACTGTGTGTGTGTGTGTGTGTGTTTGTGTGTGTGTGTGTTTGTGTGTGTGTTTGTGTGTGTGTGTGTTCATCAGGATTAGTTTAATCAAAAAATAAATATTTGTAATATACATCATTAAAATAAAAATAAATAAATGATATTTCATCGTGGTTGTTGACTAGATTTAGAGATACCTAGAAAATTGGCAAAGCGTACTCCAGTGTGTATGATGGTATTTCTACAGAAGGCTCACTATAGGTCAGAGATGTGGAGAAAGAAATTCCATGTCAACAAAAATGGCATCATCCTATAGACTAGGATCCTAGTGTAATGCAAAGGGGGAGCTAATAGAAGCATATTTTCTG